CCTAATCCAGAAACTCCTCGGTGGCGGATCGATATGAATACTTGAGTTATTAGAGTAGGAGAAATCAATTATAAAATTCTAGCTTTAAACATTACCCTTCAAGAGATATTAATAAATATTTCTGTACAATATATTGAAAACGTATATATTTCTATACAGTATATTGGATAGGGAGTTGTAATGAAAGAGCGGCAAAAGAAAACTAGTGTTCACTTATAACTTTATTGATACAAACAATAACAACAAAAAATCGGATATTAAACGCAAATTACTTGTACAAAATATAAAAAATTATTTTATTGTAATAATTATAAAAATTATTACAAAATAATTATTAATATTTATTTTCTATGCTGTTTCATGAAATTCAGAATTTTATCATATACAATAGTGTTTACATTGTTTCCCCACAGGAAATCGAGGTGCGCGAAATTGTCGATTTGTATCAAAGATTTTTGACCATTGGGTAATGTTTCATACAAATCCTGAATGTCCTGTAAAATAATTGACAGGAAAGAAAATATTAAAAAATTCAAGACCAACTGAAGGTTCGTTATATCAACGCTATACAAACCTGAGGAGTGGTAATTATATCATTGTTGCCGTAATACAAATTCACTGGTACCGAGACATTGCCGAGATTATAATCAGGAGGTTGTTCCTGGCCATATTTTTTCATGTTACCGGCAACGCCATAGTCAAATTTGCGAAACTTGCCTGTGAAAGAAGAGAATGCAACGTGAGAAAAATTTTATAAAATTCTATTCACCTTTGTGTTTGATTATTAAATGTTAACCTGATTGAATCGATTGTCCATAATGTGCAAATTGTCTAATAGATGCGCCAGCAGGACCGTATTGCGAAACAAGAAGCAACGCACTCTATGAATTCAAATCATGTTCAGTTGAAAATTAGTACATGTAAATATTAATTAATAATGCACTATTACTTGCCCTTGCTTACCTTATTTAAATTTTCATCATAGCCAAAAGCTACGTTAAAGATGCCTTTACACACTGGCAGCAGAAATGATTGCAGATGGCATATTATTTTCCCAAGCGTATGTAGAAATGGGCTTGGCTTAAACTGGTATATGTCCAAAAAATTAAATATCAACTGTAAAAAGATTAAAAGCAAAAATATTCATTGCTGTTTCTGATATTAAAATTAGTAATTTTACTAGTTATTTAACTAGTGGTTTTGGAAATTAATAATATCATAAAATTGAAAATTTTCGCAATTAATAATAAAACTAACAGTACTTTAATAATAAACTTTAACAATAATTAGCAATATTAGTAATATTAAAACTATATTTTGAATCATACGTTGTCATCGGCTACAAGGCACAGCATCCGGAAAAGAGAAGTTCCCATTCTGGATATGAAGACTGCTGGGGCTAAAGCAGAAACAGCGATAACTTTCTCTTGATACTCTGGTCGTTCGCTAGCCATCACGAAGAACGCAGTACCACCCTGGCTATGCGTTACTAGAAAGATCTTCTCCTGCTTTGTTTGTTCGATAATGTGATCAATCATCGCTGGCAGGTCGTATATTCCGATTTCATTCCAACTGTACGAACGTATCAGTTATTGTTAAGATACAATGACTGAATCTTTAAGCATAAATCTCGATGAATAGTTATACCTGAACATCCAGTATTCTGCGTCTGAAGTGGTCAGGTTCAAGTGTTTCCGCGAGAATCTGTTGCCGCGCACATTGGCTAGCCATACGTCGTATCCTTGGTCGGCTAATATGTAGCCTAAATTTTGAAAAGAATGATTGATCAGTTATTCTGTCGTTTTTCGTCGACGTTGGCAGTGTCAAATTGTAAAAGAAAATAAAAGAATTTAATAAGACGAGATTATATTTAACAAGAGCAGTGAATAGATATAACATATATTTCAAAATAAAAGATTGATGAGAAAGTATCTAATTAACAATCAATATTAATTATTAATATTATGTTCACAGATAAATACGAATTTTAAATTTTCTTCCGTCCAACAATTTTTAAAAAGAGAGAAGGACAAGTGATTTATTTGACAATACCTAAACCAACTTCGGGGCCTGATACAAGCCACGTAATCGAACAGTCTAAAATTCCATGAAC